AAAACCAGGTCCTTATGGCCCTGACTCCATTTCCATTCTGGGGAACATCAGTCGACTGGCCTAATCTACCAGACCCTTCTAGACTTACCTGCGATCAGGACTGGGACTATTGGTACACTGGAACCGTGGGACCAAAACTAGGTCCTGACACCAGTGAAAAAAATCCTTCATCAGTGACAAAGTAAACAAGCTTCATACGCGAGAGCATTAGACACACTACGAGGTTTGCATCCATTCATACACATGACTAAACGTATGCTGCCTCCAAACAATTGTCTGCTTCTACATATGAGTGCAAGCTCTACACGCTCCGGGAAGTTATACTCTACCGGAGGCACTATCTTCTTGCCCGCCCCCGCTGATCATCAGACTTTGCAGTTTATCCAAACTTAGCCCAAGTTGCCAACCACACTGTCTAAGGGCATACTCGTACCATGACTTTTTAAAGTATTTTTGGACTGAATTTCGGCCAGATACATCCAGGTATGGCCGTGAACGGGGTCAGATACATTTGAGAAACTGCTTGTGTGAGTACACCCTAAATGGTGCCAAGACATGGATGTGTTCCACTTTAAGCTGAAACACTATGGATAGTGCAAGGTTGCTGTAACTGTGTGAGTGATGCCCTTTCCCGTCACCCTGATCGGATATGAATGTCACGGCTGGAGCTTTTGGTGTCCCCGCGTCCTTTTGCAAATCCACTGCAGAAGGAAACTGCTATGGAAGTCCTTCGGGACATCCGTTAAAATTGGAACGATACAGAGAAGATTAGCATGGCCCCTGGGCAAGTAAGGATGACACGCATAAATCGAGAAATGGTCCAAATTAAAAATTAAAAAAAAGGAAACTGCTATGGATGCAAGTTTTGCCCCTATGTTGACACAGTTGCTAACTCATTCAAGCAGCAGCCAGCACAACTTTCGTACACAAAAAGGGTTTTGCTGTTTCCAGCTCATTGTAAATGACCGCCAAAACACAGACTGAGATCACTGCTGACTTCTGGGATTTGCCGCTGGAATGAATGCCTTGCTGAGATTCCTGCATTCTGCTGTGATTTCTAAGTCCGTGTGAGTGTGCTTGCCTGCTGGTTTGTGTGCCTGTCTGAGTGCTTGTCGGCTGAGTGTGTGTGTGACCCGCAAGGGTACTTGTTGGTTGAAAGGCCCCATAGGGACGGTACTTACCTGTGGCCGTGACTTTGAGGGTTGCAGCGGGGAAAACACTCAAGTAGCGGGGGTAGGCCCGCGACACTTAGAGCAGTGGGGAAAAACACTCAAGTAGCAGGTAGGCCGGTACCACTCAAGTAGTGGTAGAAGTGTCGGGTACTGGAGGCCGAGCAGAAGAAGACAAAAGTTGGCATTTTTAGAGGCCCAGTAGTGGTAGGTTAGAGGTAGGCTGGTACCAGTCCAAGTAGCCCGAGTCTAGGGCCTGTGCGGACGATAGCAGAGCCTGCAATGATGTTTCCCTCCGAAAGGGAGGAGGTACCGGTTTCTGGGAGGCCGCTCGGCCTAGGAAGTCACCGCCCAAGAGTCCAGTAGGCCGCTATAGCTTCGGGAGGAGCAAGCAGCTCCTCATCATTTGCAGTATGCAAGAATTGGCGACATGCTGCTGGAGCCAAGAACTGGACCTGTGAAGCGCTGCCTGGAGGAGAAGAGCAGCTGGGCGCTCAGCCTGGCTATGGCGAGCAGCCCAGCCTGAGGAGGAAGAAGGGGCATAGCCAAGCAGCCCAGCCTGAGGAGGAAGAAGGGGCAAAGGAGGAGAGTGGCGAGGTACCTATCTGGCTATGGTGGACACCATCTTCATCACCTTGCTTGGCGCTGCATCTGGAAGGCCCCAGTTGGGGTAATGCCACACCAAGGAAGCTCGAGGCAGAGTCAGGCATGCCGGCTTTGAGCAGCAGCATAGCTGCTTTGGGTTGTCCTTTGGACAGGAGTGCAGTGACATAGCTGCTTTGCATTGTCCTTTGCACAGGAGAGCAGAGCCCTCAGTAGTCTGCCATAGCCTAGGCATGTGAGAGGAGGAAGAAGGGGGGAAGCCATAGCTATGGTGGACCTGTTGTTGTGTCAGCAGTAAGAGGGAACTTCGGATATTGATTCTGGTTCATCCACTCATTGTTATTATTATTACTGGCAGAAGAATAAGATTGGTGAAGTGAAGGAGGATGTTACATGCCCAGTTGGGCGATGTACATAATAACCGAGGATCCGCAATGTCATAAAAAGGACTGAATGGACAATGCAGTGCAAGTGGAATCTCAACAAGCAATGTGCATTCGATACATACAAAAGGTGCTTTATAGCGCAGTGGAAGACTTAGATACAAGTCCTGACCTGACCGGGACTGACCTCTTTCACATAGCACAAGATAGCGAAGCAGAATGCTAGAGTACTAATGACTAGCCCAATCGATGTTTCAAAGCAGACGTAACATACATCATGCTCATCACAAAGTGTGAAGGGGCCTGGCGCTATACACAGGAAAGAGGCGCCAGGTCCAGACATACACAGACGAAGAGGAAGGGATCAGACGGAGAAGAGGAAGGGGGAGATGGGAAAGTCGTCAACACCAAGTCTCGTTACAAGTCCCAAATAATCCCTCTTCAAAATGTCTGAAGTCCCATGTCGAGTCTGGATCCAATGTCACCAAGCTCTCTCTCTCT